TTCCTGATGTGATAAAAAATGTTCTAACCTTGAGGTGGTGATGAGTGTACCTGTGTGTGGACACACGTCAATCTGTTGACTGTGACCTCAACAGGGGAGAGCTGCAGGACACAGGAATTATATCTCAAAAGAGAAGTTAACAGAATAGCGAGAGCCACCTGTAATGGCTAGTGGGTCAGGTCCTGGTTTGGAGGGGCAGGGAATGGGGTGTAGACACTCTCCGATCTTGGATGGCCAGAAATCCAGATTTTAAACCTACCAACGACTGGACATCAGCGCCAGGCTTTGGTTTAGAAAGCTAAGGTTTCAATTCAGCAACTTCTACTGAACTGCTCTTACTCTACAAACAGTAACAGCAGCAAAATACTACCAACAAGCTGCTGTTAGATGACTCTGACCCGGGCGCCCCCCGGTGGGAGGAGTGGAACTGGACTCTGGAGGTTTTCAGTGGCTGGTTTTCTGGAAGCAGGTCACCAGGTTTTTCTCCCAAAGCAGCTTCAGGTGGATTTGAACCACCAACCTTTCAGTCATGAGCTCAGCATGTAGCAGTCTGCACCACTAGAGGCTCCAAACCGGCCGCCATGGAGTCGACCCTGACTCACGGCGCGCCCGTGTGTGTCGGGGCAGGCCTGCGCCGCAGGGTTTCCATGGCTGGGTTTTCAGAAGTACACTGCCAGGTTCTTGCGAGGCGCCCTTCAGTGGACTCAAACTTCCCCTCTCCTGGTGAGCAGCTGAGTGTATAACTACCCGTGTGAAACACTGACCTTCATGTTCCCAAGCCGTCTTGTTCTGTCCACCACGAGCAACTTCCTAATGAGGTCTCTGGGGGAGGGAAGGAGACAAAAGCACACGGTGATGTCATCACACACATGACACAGACAACATGACAAATGACATCAAAAACGTAACCCTGCAGTGAACACTGACATCAGGCAGGTGCACTCCTTAGAACGATCAATCCTGGGAGAACAGAAGGGCAGTGCTTGGACAGGGAGACAGCTCTGGGGGCAGGAATGCGTAGGAAACAAGGACTCAGGGAAGAGGTAACCACAGGGAGGAAGTGGGAAGAGAGCTGTTACATTGTGGGGAATTGCAGTCCATGTCATGAGACAAAATGTATATGAACTGCTGTAGGGAAAATGAACTTGCTCTGTAAACTTTCACTCAAATCACAATAAAAATTAGAAAAAAAAAAATAAAAAGTACCTCTCCTCCAATTCCTAAGTTGAATAAAATAAAAATAAAACTCTGCCTACAGGACTAGCTGACCCTGGAGGACTTTCTGAAGTGAGTGCCCTGGGACACTCCTCAAACTTCGAGCCAAAACTAACCCCTTGAGGTCACCTTGCAGCTAAGTAACAGATGGGCTCCCATAACAATGAACATCAGCTTTGAGCATGGTTCTCCTTTAAAAACCACCTCTCTGAGACCAAACAGTCAGTAATGACCATAAAACAAAGATGAGAATGTTGGGGACAGGGAAACTAGATGAAGGGAAGCAGGACCACCAGAATGGCAAAGAAGATGTTCACACATTGTGAAGAATGGAACCAATGTCACTGAACAACGTGGATACAAAATGTTGAATGGAAAACTCAACTGCTATGTAAACCATTATCAAAAATACAATAATTACTCTTTTTAAAAAGAAAAACAAAAAAAAACTACCCATTACCATACACAAATTTGGACAATGGTTCAATGTGTATT